TATAGGTAGATAGATAGATAGATAGATAGATAGATAGATAGATAGATAGATAGATATAGTTACACACACACACACACACACACACACACACACACACACACACACACACATCTCTCCCTCAGAAACATGGCCGACATGGTGGTACCAATGAGTCACAAAGAAGACTATGAAAAAGGAGTGGAAGCGCAAAAAGAGATCATTGTTCCAAAAACTGAAACAGCAATGTGAGGGCCACGCAAACGACCTTTTGTAAGAGTTTTGAAAAAGACATGAAAGCCAAAATTTATCATACACCTCTTCATCATTTATCACTAATACAAAAAGCTGCATTCCTTATTCGTTGTATTAATTTATTAAGGTAAATGATGTAATTCTTCATGTTGACTATGCTGAAAACTGGCAGTGCAAATATGCAAAACAGGTGCAGCAGGTTCACTTTGGAGTATCCCACCAGCAGGTCACATTGCACAATGCTGTAATGCAGGCGTCCCTGACCTTTTTTGCACCAAGGACCGGTTTTAAAAAGTACATGCTTTTTGCAGATCGGCAATCATTCATTCATGCGTGGGGTTTGTGCACACCATCAAAAGATGACTTGATTGATTGCTGCTTCAGTACGGTAGCTTCCCAGCTACTTGGTAGCGGCTAAACTGCTCATGATGTTCGCAGCCTGTGCTGACTCCTCTCGCGTTATCATGCTTTCGACATCATTACTTGGGTGCTACTTGTTCAAATGATTCAACAGGATTGTTGTCTCGTCTGTTTATGAGGACTTCGTTGTAAAACGTCGATATTTACTCATTGTCAATTTGGAAATATCGCCACAAATACTTTCATCTTGAGAAAATAATGCCAGGTCCTGGCTGCCCATCCGCTGCGCAGTTAGCCTCATGTTTGGTGTTCGGTTACTTGTTTCTTTTACTTCTGTTTAGGTCTTCAACTTGCGAACCAAAGTGGAGAAGGAAAAGCTGGACTCTCATTAGCTACTGTCACAAACAATTCCGCTGTTAAGATGAAAAAAAACACACACACATACATATCTATCTATATCTATAGATCGATAGACAGACAGAGAGAGAGAGAGAGAGAGATGTATGAGCAACCTGGTACCGAGTAGCCCGTGGACCTGAAATGGGCAGCGAACCGGTAGTTGGGGACCACTGATATAGGGTACATGACATACTGTATCTATTTTGTTCCACTGCAATCATTTAATTGGACTGATAAAACACTCACGCCAATGTGATTTGACTATCAAACAGATGTTGTTGCCTCTTATTTGAATTGAAATTGACTTATTTGATGAGTTTCTTACCTACTTATTTAAATCTATCTGTGTCACACTATCAATGAACCCCATTCTCCTGCCCCCCATAAATTAAATTCATAATTTCAGATTGAAATGAGTTGGCTCTGGTTAAGGCAGTGCTTCTCAAATAGTGGGGTGCGCTCCGTCAAGTGCGCAGGGAGCATTTGCTGGATGGTGTAGCGGTTTTGTTTGCACTGAGCATGCGCGCTTTGCACACAGCACAGAGTCTCATACTCTGTGCTGTGTAATAAAGTGTAGACACGAAGTGTAGCACACCCTCAAGTGACACCATGAAAAAATATTTAACAGGGATGAGAAGACAGGCAGAGAGAGACGGAGATAAAGAGACAAACGGAAGTCTCCCGAAAGCTAAGACGAGGAAATATGACGAAGTGTATGTAGCGCTTGGCTTCACTGTGATTACGGTGGGAGACGGAGTAAAGACTGGTGTGCTTACTGTGTCTAAAAATGTTGGCAGCGGACAGCATGAAGCCAAATAAATTAAGGCGTCACTTAAAGACATTACACCCCAATCATGCTGATAAGCCGCTTGAGTTTTTTCAGCGAAAATGTGCCGCATATTGCCAACAATCATCCCGCTTTGTGATTGCTACTTTAGTAAACTAAAATACAGATCCCGGCTACACATTGAGCAGGAGCCGAGAGTTGCTGTGTCCTGCTTCAAACCTCGCTTCAAAAAGCTGTGCATTGCAAAATGTGGTCATTGTAGCCATTAATCCAGACATCATCTTTGATTTAAAAAAAAAAAAATCAGCACAAATTATTTTATATATTTTTGTTTTGCAGGTTACATTTTTTATATTGTGCTCTGAGTTAATGTTGGTGATCAGTTTGAATGCATTATTATCTATTCATTTTATGTAATTTTAATTTTCAGTATCGTATGGTTTGACACGGTCAGTCAAAAATGTTTATAGTTTAATTCAGGATTTAATTTTATTTTTGAATTTCAGATGCACTTTAAATCTTTTCTGTTACAGTTAATAAAGCTATTCTTTGTTGTAAATTGGTCCATATTTCTTTCTTTTTTTATTCGCTTATAGGTTAATCAGGATACAGTGTTATTCAGAGGTGTACTTATCATAATTTTATAGACAAATGATACCGGGGGGGGGGGGGGGGCATGACAGAAAATAATTGAGAAGCACTGCGTTAAGGCAACAAGAAATAACATCGTATATAGCGGTCAAGAGTCATTGGAGCCACCAGAAACCTCAAACTTGATTCTGCGTCGTGCTTTCCCCTGGACAAGGTCAGGAATCTTGCCGATAATGTCAGCGTGTATTTATAAAACTCGTCACTGATGAGCTTTCTCGACAACCTTAGCTCATGTCAACCCTGAACGGAACACACACTCGTACAGGTTATAGATACTTAACACAACAGCAAGTGCAAATATAGCTTCAAATAGCACGAAGTCCAAATTCCTTAGCAAATAGCAGCAGTGTATATTACCTTCACCAGCGTCGAATGCGTAGAGCAAAAAAAAAAAAAAAAAACATGGCCCGTGTTGGGGTTTTTTTGTTTGCTTTTGAACCGTTGAACTGCTACGCATGCATAAATGTTTCGACCAATTGTAAAAAAAATGCTTTTGCAATACAGTATTTTATCATTTATTCCTAACGCATGTGCACAAGAATATGCAAATCAAATGACAATAGGCCCTTCAAACGTTTGTGATGCAGGATTGCAATGAATGACGGAGCATCTTCGAGTAAAGTAATAAAACGTATGTTGGGTTATTTCAACATCCGAAACGTTGCCTTTTGAGCAAGACATGTCTTTGCAATTTCGGTGGTTGACTCTCTCATCTGTTGTGATCACCCACTATGGCGACGACGACAGACCAGGGCTACAACACATGACATTATGATAATGTTGACAGATTGATTTTAAACAACTGACCCCGAAACGCCTTCGTCGTATTCTCCGTCCTCGGAAGTAGCAGTCTTATTTGCTAAGGGACGAGTGTTTTACTGCAACATTTGAGACTGGAGGCGTGGCACAGAAAACCAGGCTTTCGAGATTACCGTAATAACCGAATATGTTGCAACAGAATTACAGTACTTGGTAACAGCGTTGGTTTTATTTTCTAATTTAAATTTGGTTGATGAGAATAAGAATAATTTGACTGTACCTCAATACTCATCAATAATGCTCCAAAATTAAAATTCTGTTTGGTTCCTTACTGTTTGTTAATATTTAAACTCCCTGATATTAAGTGCATTTAGACAAGTTTTAATGCATTAGTGTTACAGACAAAATTAAATGTAAATTTGATTTCGGAAGTCGCTGATGTAGCGGTATTCAATGACGTTTTAAATGTGGGCGAATGACTGGCGACCAGTTCAGGGTGTAGTCTGCCTTCTGCTTCTACTGGGATAGGCTTCAGCCCCCCCGTTCAGGATAAACGATGTTGAAAATGGACAGAGATGTTTCCTCTCTCTCTGTCTCTCTCTCTCTGTCTCTCTCTCTCTCTGTCTCTCTCTCTATCTCTCTCTCTCTCTCTTTTTCTCTCTTTCACGAGACACATATACAGGGGTAAACATAGCGGTGCGCAGGTACTTATGCGCTGGAAAACATTAAATTGGGTACTAGATTAAAGCATGCTCAGAACATTTTTGTAGTAAGCATTGTGGGGTTTTTTTTCCCCTCATTTGTCGATACACGATCTGTGACCTCTACAGCAAACGGGCAGTATGTCGGCCATTTTTTTTAATCGTTAACTACGGTAATGACACCAGAACAAAATACCTGCGCAAACAGCAGTGCAGATTCGAAAAAAAAATAAAAACGTGCACAAATAGATTCTTAAAAGGTGCCCTTTTGTCTTGTATTTTCTTATCATCTTTTAAGTGAAGTTCAAGTAAATATGCTCGCAAAGAAATTATAGTTTGAATAAGGAAAGAATACCTAACTCTACCCATATTACTAAAAGTAGAGAAACACATTTTAAGAAGTTAAATTATTTATATCCTTGTAATCCGAGGGTTAATGTAGAGCAGAATTTTATTTATGTATGTATTTATTTTTGTAACTCTGACAGAGACTTTGGGGCATTTATTTTTGACTGTATACACACCAAAGTGTTTTGGGAGAAGGATCATGTGTCACCCCAAAGCGAGTACAGAGACTTTAAATATGGAACGGTAAAACAAAATAGGAAACAGGAAAAACAGGAAATGTTGTATACCACTTTAATAATACCTGTATTTTTGAAACAATTTATTCATAGATGCAGGTTGATAAGTTGTCGCCTACAGTTTTTTGCATTTACCAGAGAGAAATTGAATATTTTCTGACATTTCAGAGACTTAAAACAAAACAGGCCATTAATTATAATATGTCATGGTATAATTGTTTTATTTTTTGAATAGACCTCTATTTTTTTTTTGTTGTTTTTTTTTTTTTTTTTTAATCCACAGTTCGGTGCATGTTGCTTGTATGCTCAATTTGTAATTCTCATGTTTTATGGGAAAAATTATTGGAAGCTGGTTTTGATGAATAAAGATTAAAAAAAAGATCTATCCTTGTAAGAATTTTATGAGACAAAATTTAGAGCAAATTAATTATTTTTACAGGGTCATACTTTTGCCCCCCTTGTCCTAGACCAGACCAGTGGTGTCAAATTCATTTTTGTCGCGGGCCACATTGGAGTTACACCGTTCTAACAGTGAAACTACAAAAATGTTTCATCATCTCATCGCATTATTACCTTGACACAACAAATGAATTATTGTTCAAGTGAGTATAAAAAATCTTGCAAAATCTAAATGTGATTTATTGCACATGACAATTTGACATGTCGGTACAGATTTTAGCACGGATCATGCAAGTTGACAAACACGATGTGACAGGTCATATCTGGCCCCCAGGCCTTGTGTTTGACACCAGTGTTTAGAGAGTTAACCCGATTGACTTCAAACTTGGGCTGTACCATCTCAAAATGTGAGACAAAAGAGAGAGACATTTAATGATGTTTAAAATTCAAATTCGTTTAAATCTATTTTTGTCATCATACACTGCTGCCGTAACAATGCTCCATTTACAAAGACAAATGGTGTTTTTGAGGGTCTACTTTGAAACCCTTACAAACACGCCTGAAACCAATTGACAAAGGAAATTAATATCGCAAAGAGAAGCTATGCAGAGAAGCTGAAACAACAGTTTACTGTTAACGACACTGCATCTGTGTGGAATGGCCTGAGAGCAGTCACAAACTATAGGACACCCCCCCCTCCCCAAACAGTGAACAATAAGGGTCTGGCTGATGAACTAAACATGATTTTTTGCCGATTTGAAAAGGACACCCCCATTTCCCACATCTTCCCACCTCTACCAGAAACTACCCTATCCACACCCCTGCCCTCATTCTCTGCCCTACAGATCCACGAACAGGACGTGAGACGGCTCTTCAAGCAGCAGAAGATCAAGAAAGCTGTGATGCCCGACAAAGTGTCCCCTTCCTGTCTGAAAGTCTGCATTGACCAGCTGGCTTCAGTCTTCACACAAATCTTCAAATCTTCAGATCCCTGGAGCTGTGTGAGGTCCCATCCTGCTTCAAACAGTCTACCATCATCCTAGTTCCCAAGAAACCAGCAACATCGGAACTGAACGACTACAGGCTTGTTGCTCTGACGTCTGTAGTCATGAAGTCTTTTGAACGCCTTGTGCTGAACCACCTAAAGAACATCACCGGAGCCCTGCTGGACCCTCTTCACTTTGCTACCGGGTAAACAGGTCTGTGGAGGATGCAGTCAACATAGGGCTGCACTACATCCTCGAGCACCTCGGCAGCATAGGGACCTATGCAAGGATCCTGTTTGTGGACTTCAGCTCTGCGTTCAACACCATCATCCCAGAACACCTCAGCCCCAAACTTCTCCAGCTCTTGTGTCCCCTACTATCTGCCAGCGGATCCTCAGCTTCCTGACGGAACAGACACAACAGGTGAGGCTGGGAAGGACAACATCATCAACAGGAGCCCCGCAGGGATGTGTCCTCTCTTCACTGCTCTTCTCCCTCTACACGAACGATTGCACCTCAACACACCCAACCGTCAAACTCATAAAGTTCTCAGACACCACAGTCATCGGTCTCATCAAAGATGGCGACGAGTCTGCATACCGACAAGAAGTGGAGCAGCTGGCACTCTGGTGCAGCCAACACAACCTGGAGCTGAACACGCTCAAGACGGTAGAGTTGATCGTGGACCTCAGGAAACATCCTTCACCACAGCTGCCCCTCACACTATCCAACTGCCCAGTGTCAACCGTCGAGACCTTCAAGTTCCTGGGAATCACAGTCTCCCAGGACATGAAGTGGGAGGTCATCACCAACTCCATCTTGAAAAAAGCCCAGCAGAGGATGTACTTCCTGAGGCTGCTGAGGAAGAAGCATGGTCTGCCACAGGAGGTGTTAAGACAGTTATAGACAGCAGTCATCGAATCGATCCTGTGTTATTCCATCACTGTTTGGTTTGGGGCCGCCACATAAAGGGACAAAATCTGACTGCAACGGACAGTTAGGATGGCGGAAAAAAAAATCATTGGCACCGCCTTACCCACTCTTGAGGACTTGCACACCGCAAGAACCAAGACAAGGGCATGGAAAATCCGACTGGACCCCCCACCACCTTTTCCAGCTACTCGCCTCAGGCAAGCGCTACTGATCCATGTACATCAAATCCAGCAGACACTCAAACAGCTTCTTCCCTCTTGCCATTAACTCCCTAAACAGTAACCCAAATCTACCTGTATAGTGGCTCTTTGCAATTTTGCACAACCTTGTGGAACAGCATTACCACAATAATCACTGTAGCTCCCGCTCTGTACTTACTTGAACCATTGTCACTGATCTATATTCCACAGCACCAGACACTTCAAAGCGCTCAAGGACATCTATACAATATACACTTAAACTTTTTCTACAAATACTGCTACTGGTCACTTTAAAATGGTGCAATGATTTTCTGCACAAACTGCACAACTGATATATTATAGTATTCTACCACTGATCACTTTAGCTCTACTTGATACTTTGCACATTGTCTCACAGTTGTCATTGGGTGGTACCACCGCACAACGGTACACTTACATTACGGAATGTCTTTCCATCCTGATTTGTCATGTCCTTGTTTATGAGGATACATGTGTAGCCTGAATAGAAATAATCAAAACCAGAGACAAATTCCTTGTGTGTTCTACAAACCTGGCCAATAAAGACGATTCTGATTCTGATTCTATGTTTCACCTCGATCTGTGAAAATTCGGAGGAAGACGTTACAGCCCGAGACCTACAAAAAAGTGTTGTGTAGCATGTGCTAAACCTAACAGGAAGCCCGCCATTTTGACTTTATTTTGGAATTGGGAAACATTTTGGTTCCTTCTACAGAGTTCAGATTTTAACAAACTCCTAGAGAATTTATCTGATCCTCTTCAAACTTTGGGTGTTTCATCTAGAGCTGATTAAGATGAAAAGTTATTGAAAGCTTTTTATTTCGTCACACGCAGTTACCGTGGCAATGCGCTGTTTACAACAAGAACGATGCTGTTTTTGAGTGTCTAAACCAGGGGTCACCAACCTTTTTGAGAGTGAGAGCTACTTCATGTGTACTGATTGTGTGAAGGGCTACCAAATTGATAAACGTCTGAAATAACATCTGTACAAAGTACATTTAATAACATTAGAATGTGTTATTTTTAATACTTAATGATTTATTTAAAAAATTCAGGCTCTGATCATCTTAAAGCTGTCTCAGAATACTGCCAGTATTTGCATTTTTAAATCATAATTTGTAGCAAATCACAATCCTAGCACTAGCGGGCTATTCGTGTGGTCCTCACGGGCTACCTGGTGCCCGCGGGCACCACGTTGGTGACCCCTGGTCTAAACCTCGGCAAAAACTCACTCGAACACACATCATACCTGGCACAAAAAAAATACATATTTTGAAATTTTCATCTAGTTTATGTTGTAAGGTTTTTTTTCACTAAAGCAAGAAAATTTGAGATGATTTTTTTTTTTTACAGATAATCACACCAAAATACGTTACCAGTACTTCATGAACAGTTTTGTTGCTTTTTTTTTTCTTTACAAATACTATGCTCGTTAGAATTTTGACCAATAATAGTTAATATTTGTTAAAGTTGAAGATTAATTGAGAAGCTTTAGAAAAGTTATCTGTGGGTGATTGGCACGTGACTTGCATTTTTAAACTTTTCATGCACCTTGTAACCTGATAACATGATAAGCAGTAGTAACCGTGGTCCCCGAAAGGGTTAAGAAAGATTGCGGTGTCATCTGCCAAAATGCGACATGCAAATCTCCGGCTACCTCTGTTGCTTAATAATTCAGTACAGTGACTGGCCAAGGACCAATTCCAGCATGTTAGGATGACACAGACAGGACATGGGATGCATGGGTTTCCAAGGCACTTGCAAAATAAATGTATTCAAGAAATGTACAATTTTTGCCCATCTTTTACATGCACTTCTGGATGCTTTCTGTCATGAAGTTGGAGATGAACATGGAGGTTTGCAATGATGTTTTTTGTCTGTTTTTTTTTTTTTTACACCGTTTAAATCTACAAATTTCATTAGAGCAGTTAGAGACAGCACAAAGTGCATCTGTCATTTTGTCACTTAAGGCTTGAAGCCTTTTCAACAATGTCTGCAAGCTTTAAGGTGTTTAAGCATACATTTTTGTACTACACCCCCCCCCCCTCAAAAAAAAATCAATGACCTCTCATGTGTTTGGTAGCCTCTTATTTAATTTTTTTTGTGTGTGTGTGATTCTCACGTTTGCGCCGATGAGATCTGCAAGTCGCTGACTGACCGATGACAGTCTCTCAGTCTGTTCTATTAATTCCTTTCATAGTACTATAAGAGATTTGAGAGGAAAGAATTTGGGGCTCCAAATATCCGGGGACTTTAGGAAAAGCAGTTTCATCCCAGAACATAAAGATCGGACAAAATTCATTTTCAAGCATCCAATTAGTCAGTGTGTATAAGGCATATTACTTGGTTTACACTCGACTGTTCATTTTGGACTTGTTTCCTGGTCTATTGTGCTATAAAAAGGCCGGATGGTGTCGTCAAGCATTGCCATGATTTGGATAGCACTCCTAAAAAGAGACTTTTCCAGCACAATGACTGGCAATGCAGCAAGCCTCCAATGTGGCTTCTATGAAAACTCTACATCCCAAAACCATGACCGATTGTAACCGAAATGTATGCGTGCACGTGTAGGCACGTGAGCATCACTCTCTGAAAATATTAGAACCAAACTCACAATACTTTTTGATTCGTTTCATTTTGTAAGGTTGCCTCATAGAATTAAACATTCGGTCACTTACTGGACAAAAAACCGTGACCCACTGTCACCAAAATATACGTACACATGGATATGTGTGCCCAAAACCTATCCTGAAAATAGTAGAAGGAAATGTGCGATATATTTTTTGTTCAGAGATCTTCAGACTATGATAAGGATCAAATACAGTTTCAAAAATAATGTTTGTACAAGTGTGAGATTTAGTTTTCCATCCATCCATCCATTTTTTGATCCGCTTTATCCTCACAAAGGTCGGGCTCCTAGCTGTCTTCGGGCAGCAGGCGGGGGACACCCTGAACCGGGTGCCAGACAATCACAGAGATATAGTTTTGAATGTGAAAATATATAGAATTGAATCGGAATCAGAATCATCTTTATTGGCCAAGTATGTAGAACACACAAGTAATTTGTCTCCGGTAGTACACACTGCACTAGTATCATCATAATTTTTATTGAGGATCAAATACTGTATAAGAGAAAATAAACATTTTACAATGTTCAATTTAGTTTTGAATTTATTGGGGTTCAGCTGCAAAGTAATGATTTCAAATTCATCCATCCATCCATTTTCTAATCCGCTTATCATCACAAGGGTTATGGGTGTGCTGGAGCCCATCCCAGCTGTCTTCGAGCAGCAGGAGGGTGACACCCTGAACTGGTTGCCAGCCAATCGCAGGGCACACAGAGACGAACAACCAGAATGTTTTTAACCTGCCATGCATGTTTTTGGAATGTGAGAGGAAACCAAAGTACCCGGAGAAAATCCACGGGGGCACGGGAAGAACATGCAAACTCCACACAGGAAGGCCGGAACCAGAATCGTACCTGCACCTCTGTACTGTGAGGCGGGTGTGCTCACGGCTAACCAGTTGACCATCAATTTGTACAATTCCGATTCAGTTTTTCAATGCAATTATTGATGTTTTTATCATTTCAAATTCAAATATAAATGATTGAGATTCAGTTTATTGTGGAATACATTGCCCATATTCTCCAATCTTCTGCTATTAACCCAAATGGTTAACCCACTCTTTTCAAAAGTGAGTGGTGGGGTTTTAGATTTGTTGCATGTCTAAAATGAGTGCACTTCTGAATCTGAAGCTCCTTTTTCAGAACCACCCAAAAAGATCACTGACACTCAAGGATGTTTCCAAATTCATTTGATTTTATTCCGAAATGAAAATATCAAAACAGTATTCATGTAACTGGTTGTTAGAGTTATGTTGTAACAAGTGCCAGTGTGCAGTATTGATGAAGAATACACAAAAAATAGGTTTAATATCAAACAACCTATAAAGTTGCCAAGGATTGATAAAATAGTACATGTCAGTAGATATAATAATAATAAAAACACAGGGTACTGAATATTACAAGCAAACAACCGAAGGATACGTTGATTCACTCCTCTTTCATCTATAACTGCTTCAAACAACAAAGTGTATGCAGAAAAGTGGTTAAGATTGTCTTTTGTGTTGTGTTGTATTATTTTGTCATTTTATGTTAACTGTTCTTTGACGGTGGCACGGGCACCCACAGCGGCTCCTCTCTCTCCTGAGGAAAGAAATTTCATCTGTGCTGCATGTTGTACATGTAGCACATTTGACAATAAAGTTGACTTGACTTGACATGAACATGGCATCCATTCAAGAGGCATATTTCCTTATGGCAACAGTATGAAAGAAAACATTTATTAGCAAGGGAATTAACTAATTCAACGCCAAGGATGATTTTTCACTTTTGTTTTTTTTTTGTTTTTTAATCCAGGCATTCAAATCTCAGGTACATCTTTACTGTATGTATTTTTAAATTTTAAATTTTGGCATGGCGTGGGAGGGGATAAGAAGGGTCTGAAATGGCTGGTACCGAATGAGTTCATCATTGTGTATATAAATAACAAATCACTCATAATTACAACTAGAGCTGCGACCAGCTATTTGTAACTTGGTAGTATCAAGGTATCAAAACATCACACTGCGATCCTTTATTTATTGAGATAATGATTATACGTAGTGGTAGTATACAGGAGACACAAAGCCTTCCTGTTTGTTTGGCAGCAGTGACACAGTACTGTACGTCCATGTAACAATAGGAATTAAATACTGGACATACACAAGATGTGTCCATTAAACAATCCGATACCACATTAGCTTGCGTTACGTATTGCATAAAGTAGACAGCACGAGTAACATCATCCACCTCTACAGTGATCCCATTTTAGGGTACTGTATGTTTCCGTCATAAGATCCTGAAGTCAAGATTTGAGTATCAACAGAATCTCAATTGTATCTTGAATTTGCTTGCATCAAGGGGCGAAATCAGCGGCCGTGTTGACCCCGGAGAAAAGAGGGGTCGCCTTTTGTTTCTCCAGATGACATTACATACTCGGAACACCAGCAGGATGCATGCCAACACCAGGAGAGCAACTAATAAGACACAAAAATAGCATACGTGCATATTAGTGAACGGCCGAACCATCAATGATGATACGGTGATACTTTTCACACATCAGCTGACCACACATTTAGGACTACGTAGGACCGTGACATTTGTTCAAAGGGGAAATTAATCTACTTGGGCTGCATGTCAAAAGCAGATACAGTAATATTTGCGCCTTGGTGATTCTGCCTCAAGTGAAATGTGTTCACTGCAGGTTTAGATTTTATTTGAATGGAAGCAAATTAAGTCAGCATTTCTATTTAAGGGATGTCTTCGCAAATAAAAATGGATTCTCAGGATTTCATGTCTTGATGAAAAATAAAAGTCAGCGTTCAAGCAGCTTTTCTACATTAATGAAATGATTTTCATCAGGATCCATTTCTGAAACTCAAAACATATGAAAAAGTCTGCTTGTTTTGTTGTTTGGATTTAAATCTAAAATGTTAAAAAAAAAGGGGGAGGAAAAAAAAAGCCAAGTTTTTCCACATTCAATTTTAGGCTGAGATCCAAAACATGAAATGGATAAACAGGTCACATTTTCGTTTTGTTTTGCCAGTCTTGTTGAGCATGGGTGCGCCGATGTAAAACTGAATATGAAAAAAAAATATACAGAATTGAATCTTCAGTGAGGAATTCAAATTCAGATTGTGCAATTCAAGATATAGTTTTTAATAACAAATATTCAAATGAAACAATGCAAATTCAATTCATGTAATTCGGATTCCGTTTTTCGAAGCACTTATTCAACTTTGGCGATTCAAATTCAAGTATACATTTTTCAGATTCACGTTTGTGGTGGCACATATTTCAGCCCAATAGATCTGGGCTAGGATTGGAGAAAAACATTTTGTTGGTCTGTTAATGTTTGTATTTTTATATTATCGTTCATGATTTATCCCATCTGTTGCGCAAAATACTGATCTACACTTAGGATTTACATGAAATTGTATTAATTAAATTCAGATTCACAAAACTTGGCCTTCACAAAGGCTTGGCATGACAACAGGATCTTGTCATCTTGTGATTGGTTCACCAGTATTGAATAGTTTTGCGGTTTGTGCAAGGGCTGACTGACGGTGGAAGACCAATGTTGGGCATTATTAAAACTCACTGCGTGTGTACTTTTTAATTGCAGACGCTTCAAGAAACAAATGGAAATTGTGAGGATAGGTCACCCAACAACATAGGTTGTTTCAACCCAGAAAAAGATTTACTTGGCAACTTCCCGAGTGACACGTAATGACGCTACAACTAGCTAGCTCTAACTACAAAACCAACTAGCTCTGATGATCAAAGAAAAGGAGGATTTTATCTTCTATAAATAATCAGCATCTCTGGTGAGTACAATGTATTTTTGGAGTTTTCATATTTTTGTTTTATATTTTAATGTGTTTAATGTGTGTGACTGTGTTTAATGTGTGTGACGTTCCATCGGGGCCTTCAAAGCCTTCTCTGCAGGCACAAACACCATCAGAAACAAAGACCTACATTTATAACCTAAATGAAGTGGAAATAATAGATTTCCAACGGTCTTGTATTCATTTCATAGCTTGTGTCTTGGCTGCGTGGCTTCCAGTCCAAATTGTGTAGCTCCAGCTCTATTTGACCAGTATCGACGAACAAGCTTTTCCTTTCCCAAGTCACAGCACTATTTCCTTCCCTGGAAATTTGTTACCAGTAAGACAATTCCAAATTCAGTTGATTCATGAAAAACAACTGTCAGACTGTAGAGCTGTAATTTTCCACAAATGAAGCCTTAGCTTGATACTCCAATCATTCCCTTGTAGTCAATAACAGAGAAACAAAAACTGCAGTCCCTCCTTTCACGGTGGTGGTTATTCAATTCCAGTTGAATTACAAATTAAAGCAATGGCAGAAACAATACTCCAAGAAAACAAATTCAAAGGATTTTGTTAATACATTCAGCGAAAGCAAGTGAGAGCTACAGAGGGTTTTAAAAACTGTTTCCTTAGCTGACCGCATTACTGTATTCACAGGTTTCCACACAGAACCTTCTGTCTTCATTAAACAGGAACAGAGAGCCTCAACATTTTCTTCGATATTATGAAACCTTTATGAAATGTTACAACTTAAAATTTCCACACACACATTTTCAGTGCAATCCATTCAACTGTCAACTTATTACCTATTGCAAACATGAATATGGTAACGTGTGCTTTACTTGACTTCAATCCATTTCATCACAGCAACATTTCATCAGATCCACGATGCAATCGGGTTGCTACTTGATGCATATCTGCTTTACTCCACGGTCTGTGGTTTGATGAGAAATGCTAAAGAAACAGGGTCATGGGCATAATGCAATGGTCAATTGTGTTTTTTCAATCTGAGTCGTCGGCTTGGGGTGAGTGAAAAAGTAACACTAATCAGCAATTTTAATAATGCCTTGAAGTATATGCATTTGTATGTTGCTCTAGAACAGGCTGTTTTCTGTAATACAAATTATCCCAAATGATGTTAACATCAAATGCTTGCTTCTTCAAGAACACAAAAGTAAAGAGGATATTTGTAAACATGGTTTATTCCACAGAGTTGTTGTTTCACTTTGTCTTTGCGCTGGTCATGCAACCTGGGCATTTCTATCACACTGAGCAGTGACCACAAGCTCTCTCTCTCTCTCTCTCTCTCTCTCTCTCTCTCTCTCTCTCTATATATATATATATATGTAAAGGAACCGACCGGTCCTTGTGTGTCTCCAGCAGGTGGCAGTGGAGGGCTTTTCTTCTAGTCTGCACACCTGCTGCCAATTTGACCATCAAGTTCAGCCACGTATTTAAGGACTTCCCAAGCGCCAGATCTGCGGTGGATTATTGACCTTGTTGCTGATCTTGCTCAAGTGTTGTTTTCTAGACCTAAACAAATGAAGACGGGCAGTGGGCGGTGGACACCCTGAACAGTCTGCTAGCCAATCGCAGGGCACACAGAGATAAACAACCATCTGCGCTCACACTCACGGCTAGGGACAATTTAGAGTGTTCAATCAGCCTGTCATGCATGTTTTTGGGAATGTGGGAGGAAACCGGAGTACCCGGAGAAAACCCACGCAGGCGGATATATGCAAACTCCACACAAGAAGGCCGGATAGGAAGGCCCAAGCTAGAATTGAACCCTACCCCTCTGGCTACGTGCTAACCAGTCTTGTCTTGAAGCCATGAACCAGCGAAGGGCATAAATAACGCCCACATTTTTGCTATTCGCAACTTTACTTATTCATTGATTTTTTTGGAAACCTGTCCTTTGTAATTACAAAACAGCTGCGAAACAAATCAGTACCATCTTGTTGCTTTGGAACTGCGCTGAAAGGCACACATAGACAAACAACGATCCGCGGTCACACTCACTCCTAGGGACCATTTAAGGTGCTCCATTAACCTGCCATGCATGTTTTTTGAATGTGGGAGGAAACCGGAGTGCCCGGAGAAAACATGCAAACTCCACACAGGAAGGCCGGAGTTGGGATCGAACCCACGACCTTTGCACTGTGACGTCGACGCGCTAACCACTGTACCAGCAGGCCGCCCCAAACAGTGTCTATGTACAAATATGTAATCAACATTCGTTAGCACGATTGGCCAGTAGGATGCCAATTCCTACCTTTGGGCAAATTCATACTTTTACTAAATATACTGATTATACTGTACAGCCCGAAGTAGCATTACTACTAAAGAAAAAAAAAACCCAGACCTTTACTTTTATCTTCCAAAACGCATCACCTCACAACTCTAAATCTCTACAAAAAAATAAGTTCACTATCAATTTTTATTCATTTAAAAACTTTAAATAATCACATCATACTTCCCACAAATCCTAAGGCAGAGGCTCCTGCCTGTCTGTGTATACTAACTCTTCCCCTCATACATACCTACTCTGAAAGTACGCCCTTCCTAAAAAACTTCTGGATTGAAAGAAGCCACTCAGCAGAGCAGTGTTGGTTTTCTTGAAAAGTGCGCCTTGAAGGTGAATTTTTAATCATGGTACCGGTACAAATGAAGACACAAGCTGTTGGAAATAAATTATTACCATTTCATGCAAGCTGTAAATGTAGGTCTGTGCTTCTAATAGAGGTTGGGTCTGCAGAGAGGCTTTGAAAGCCCTAAGGGCATGCCACTGGTGATCGCAGTCGCAGCGGCAGCAGAAGTACCAATAGTAGTAGCAGTACTAAAACGGGGATTAGTGGACTTCACGCTCACACTCTGGACCTCACTAATTAAATTGATCAGATTAATTCAACTCACCCATGAAGATGGCATTTGGGCTGGGGTCCACTGGATCAAAATGTTTTAAAACATTTCCAAGCAGCGCCACGATCACAACCGGGTACACTGTCAGAATGTTGCGCACCCAACGGTCCAGTACCCAGTTTTCAAGAATAAACCTAGACAGAGAAGGCTTGCTGTTGTTCATGTCATTAATGAGGTCACTAAAATCAGAAAGAAGTCTCAGCAGGGTGCAGCATAATCCAAAGAAATATTACGAAATCAATACAGTTCTGACAGTGTTAAATCCAAATAGAATATTTTCCCTTTAATCTTCGCAAAAGCTACATTTACACGATGGCCAAACAATTTTGGAAAATTATTTTTCCTCAATATTAAGCGCTTTGTTACAGTTGCAGCTGTTCTGAAAGCCCTCTATGTGTAAAGGTTTATTTATTGTAAACAATATCAGATTATGACACATAAATGCTTTGGTTTGAAAATTGCGTTCTACTACATTGCAATGTCAAATTTGGTGTTTGATCAGGCCAAAGTAGACAAAACGGGATCTTAGAGGAGACAATTGGTAAAATCTTACCAGCCCACCAGCTCAGCAAACAGGAGGCAAAGGGACACCGTTGCGGCTGTGCTCCTGACCACACCCCACAATTGAAGAACAAGGGTGAAGTTGATCAAAGAAGCAATGGATGTCCACGTGGTGTAGAGAGCCAAGCCATTCTGGACCTTCAAAGTTTTCACATATGGATACAAAATGAAATTAGAGAAAACAAATCAAAAGATTGAACGCTAAAATCAATTACGATAAATATCTTACATCAAGTGGTGCCTTGAGCTTGCGTACAATTGAAAACGAGCATTTACTGTTGTGTTTCCCCAAATTTAACTGAGCCAAAAATCTCACGGCACACCACTTGACAAAAATTTCACAAAAAGTTGATGGACAGGTTAACAGAAAGGCATTTAATTGTTCTGCCTGCTACCTTATGTATTTGGCCTAGAATGAGATGCGCAATAAGCATTGCCGTAAAAAGTGTTTGATAATACATGTTAACTCTGTTCAACTGTCTTTTTTTAATCACATAATATTGAATGCTATTTTTAAACATTACAATTGAAGTACAAATTAAAACAAATGAACTAGTATCTCAAGGCACCATTGCACTCAAATGACAATCAGTCCACCTACCAGAATTGTTACGCAGGTCAGATCTTTGGGATAATAGGTGTGTAGCCAGAGTCCATAGTAATCCGTGATAAAGCAACAGATACTCAAGGCACTATAGTTGGAAATCACGATCAGGATCAATACAACCAATGCTGACAGCATCAACCTAAAAGAGGGAACAAAAGAGTCAACGGATCAAATTAGCATATTGTTAAATATTTTATGACAGGCCATCCGCCTTCCTCCTGCGTCCCATGAGCCTCCAGTCGTGAATTAGGTGCGCAACTTGTGGTAGGGCGAAACTGGCGTTTTGTTTACATAGAAACTGTGAGAGTTACACAACAATGTGGGAATGCAAGTTGTTGCAGCTTATGAAAGAAAACATTTCAATCCCATTTCCTGCTCATTTAGCGGGCTAACCATATGACAGGGACCCTTAAAAGGAACCCTGACTTATTACCGTATTGGCCCGAATATACGACGACCCCCTCTTTTTCAAGACTCAAGTTTGAAAAAATACTTTTTGAACACAAGATGAATACAAGAGAAAATTAACACAAGAGTGCCAGGGTGTGTATGTATAAATTCCCGATACAAACAAAAAGTATAAAAATATCACGGTTAAGGGTAAAGTATGAGCCTTAATGGAGACTTCTTTCTTCTTACTTTGTTTTTTTTCTGATTGATATAAAAATGATTCAATAGATATAAACATATAACACGGGGTAGGACTAGATAAGTTCTTTACTTCTTCCTACTCCCTTGAACATAATAACTGTGTTGAATGATGACTAATTTCTCTTTCCTCTTTACTCTTTTATTTACCTTATTTTCTGTCAAATTATTACTGTATATGTTTTATGTTCAATAAACAAACAAACACCAAATTAATTTTTATACAGAAAATAATTACAGTACATCTGAAACAAATGATTATAATAATATATTTGAGAGAAAAAGCATGTTGTTTTGCCTCATTCAAATCTTAATATCTGAACATTGAAATATGTAAACTAAAGTGCAATCACATTCGTAAATGAATGGCTTCTGGTTTTTGAAATGTAAATTACATCATAACTTCTCCTCAGCTGCCGGTTAACCTGGCCGATCTTCGACCCACTTTTCTCCAGATTGTCGCTACGTTTCTCCATTTTCTGTTATCTCTGCTATTATTTTCTTCTCTTTCCTTTCTTACCGCAATTTTTTATTTTTCTTCTTCGTGCCACTGCTATTTTTATTTTTATTCTTCGTGACGGGTTCACTTTGGCCTGGGGAGTCAGGTTCAGCATTCGCTTCAATGATATCTGGAGCCATCTAGCGTCGTGAATGGGTATAATGTCTAGACCCCGAATATAAGACGACCCCCACTTTTTCTTATTTGTCTTATTTCAATGCAAAAAACACCGTCTTATATTCGGGCCAATACGGTCACATGCCATCAGATTTTTGGAAGGAATTTCCAGTTGAACAGATTTTGTTTAAACTTTATTTGCATATATGCCACCATTATCGCATTCTGTGTAGTGACATAGAATGGTTGCTGCCCATGACAGTGCTTTGCTCTTTGCCAAGCAAACCGAAACAATGAACTACAGCGAAAAGGAGCCAAAATGCCACACCGCGTGTCTTTTGATGTAATTTTCAATAAAACCGAGGTAAGCCTGCAAAGCTTTCCTAAAGAAAGGAAGTTAAGAAAACAGTGCGAGGATATGGTTGGAAGAGTCCGACTGCCCAAAGACCCCCCGCACCGGCTGTGCTCTCGTCGTTTGTCTAGCGATAAACAATACGGTTTGCTACCTACGGATTTTCATATTCAGGGATTTCTTTTTTCTTTTTAAAAAAAAAAACGTTTTCGTTTGTTTGTTCTCCCCCATTTCCCTCTTGTGTTTGTGAAAAACAGAATTTTATCTACGTTTTCTGAAGAATTGTTGTGGTTCATTTACCGTCTTTTTTTGGACCATTAGGCGCTCCGGATTATGAGGCGTAATATCATTGTCCCATTTTTAGTTCATAATTTTGATTTCTATCTTTTGATACGTTTGCCATGCAACTACACGGCGGTTTGCTTCGAGATCCTCCGACAGTTGATAAATAAATAAATCAATCTAAAAATGTAAACATCGCTATTCAATCTGATGGTGGTGTTTGGCTGCTGAGGGTGACAGTTCAACAGCTGTAAACAAGTCAATACACTCACGCGATATGCCAATGTCCTCGCTCACCATTGTCCAAGCCAGCTCCTTTTTTGCTCGGTCCCAGCACCCACCGATAGCCGACTGTGTTGTTTACCTCTCTCTCCTACTGACCGCAATTATATTGTCCAACACTGTAATGTTGGAAACACGCAGCCAGCAACGCTCGCCTCGCGTTCGGTCTGACTGCAGCATTATGCTAGCATGACTACTTCACCCAAGATTCTCATACACCAAGGGTCTTCAATCCTGTTCCTCGAGGGCCAGTTTCATATCTCTTCCTGCTGCAACACATCTGATTAAAGTGATCGTGTTCCTTATGAGGAAAAAATGTACTTCTGCTCGCAATTATATTCATGAAAGTTAAATAGGATGGAATTTGAATTAAAGACAACAAATTGAAATGCCAATATTCATACATAAGGTGCACTCCATTACAAAGCGCAACTGTAGGTTTTGGAGAAAATTAAAGGATTTTAAGTGCAGCTTATGGTCCCCAAAAATAGTGTAGTCATTTTCTTCCAATGCATTTGAATGTCTATCAATTGTACGCGGATTTTCACTATTCACTGTCCCTATTCTTCTGTACGTTTTTTTTTTCATGACTGGACTTATTAACATGAACATAGATTGTATAAAAAGATGAATAAGAAACCCTCGACATACTCTCTGTCCCACAACAGCAGCCATATCATATTCAGCACAATGCTGAGCAGCCAGAAGAAATAGAAGGTGTACGGCAGCAAACACTGAGCCCAGGATCTGTTCAAAAAGTGAAAAACATGGTTCAGCTGGTCTGAGAATGAAGAATCATATTAGTCTGCAGTACACACTCTGATGTTTACTTACCCCCTGAACACAAATAGGGTGATATATAAGACCATTAAGGAGAGCCAGGTATAAATAACACCCCAAATGGAGAAGGTCCAGCCAGCAGGTGTGATGTCTGTTTCATAACGGGCTGACACATTGCCTGTTGAGGAATGGAAGGCACCTGCAAAGCAGAGTCATTCGTTTATACAAATTGGAATTTCTTCCACTTATCATGTTCAGGATCACAGTTGACCTGGATCCTATGCAGTGCTCGCTGACGATAGCCGAGGGCAGAGTACACCCTTGACTGGTCGCCTGACAATCTCAGAGCACATACAGTATTGACAAATAACAGTGGGCAATTCACAGTACAGAGTTCAGACAAATATTCAAAAAGCCCTTATTTGCCTCATCACTGATTATTTTTTTGGGACCCTATCATTCATCACTCATAGAAAACTCACCTACTTGTATCGATAAAATGATGGAATTACAGTACATAATGAGGATAATGTACATTTACATGGTTTTGTGTACATGAAGCCTATGATTTGGGAAAGTCTTGTCTTGAAGCCATGAACCGGAAAAGGGCACAAATAACGCCCACATTTTTGCTATTCGCAATTTTACTTATTCGCTTTTGGAAACCCGTCCTTCGTAATTACAAAACAGCTACCAAATCAGCGCCATCTTGTTGCTTAGGAACTGTGCTGAAGGGCACACGTAGACAAACAACCATCCGCGGTCACACTCACACCTCGGGACAATTTAAGGTGCTCCATTAACCTGCCATGCATGATTTTGGAATGTGGGAGGAAACCAGAGTGCTCGGAGAAAACCCACTCAGGCACGGGGAGAACATGCAAACTCCACACAGGGAGGCCAGAGCCGGAATCGAACCCTGCACCTCTGCACTGTGAGGTCGACGCGCTAACCACTTGACCATGAGCCGCCCCTTTACAGAACATCCAGCATAAAATAAAACAAAGAATACGATCAAGGACTTGCTCAAGTTAAAAAAAAAAAGCTATTTAGCATTTGGCCAATATTACGCTGATACATTCAAAAATTAACTAAGCATTATTCATTTGTAATTGTATGGTTTGATTATGTCTGCATTGCATAATTTCCATTCAGGTTTTCCCCCCATAATTCCACGGGGTATAGTAGTGCTTTATGCCAAGCAACGCCTATGGTACTGTATGTATCTTTGTATTTTATTTTTTGTAATCTTTATTTTCTTCATTATCTTTATTATTTTTTTTAGTATGTTGACAATTTCTTGCAGCCAATGGGGTGATGAAAACGAGACGTTTTGTTTCACGTGTTTATTGACGAAGTGAAGAATTATGCAGTTGAACAATTTTGATGTAGTTTGTGAAGAATCTGCAGACAGGGAACTCAAAATTACTGGACTCGCATTGACCTACCCACAGAAGTGAAGAATTATGCGCAGTTGAACAATTTTGATGTACAATCGTTTGTGAAGAATCTGCAGACAGGGAACTCAAAATTATTGGACTTTCATTGACCTACCCGCAACAGCTGGAATTGGGAGGCAGTTAATCTGGATGCCACTTGTAGCCAACTATAACACGGCATTTTACATATTACGCTAAAATAACCAACCTACTGCAATTACTTAAAATAGCCGATTCACGGTTGACCCAGAATTCCTCACTCGTTTTACCAATCCGAGCCTTTCATGGCAAAATGACCCCTGCGTAAATATTTAAGAAAGTTATGAAACTTTAAAACGTTTATTTAACGACAACAAAAAATGTCACACTTCAACACTAGAGCCTCTATGATTGCATTGAGGCGTTGGCCGGAAATTGGGACATTTTAAAAGACTGGCATATTTCTATCCATATTCCGAACCGTTTATTCTCTGTCGGGTCGCGGGATTGTCACGGGAAAGTGATACTTAAGTAACAGAAATCGTCTTTAAAAGATCTGTCTGATCATGCTCGTTTCATGTACTTTAATTGTTAATATATGAAATTTGAAGCATATAACTACCAAAGTGATGTGTCGGAATGTCATCTAAACTATCAAACCACCACTGTCATCTAAACTATCAAACCACCACTTTAATTGTTAATCTATGAAATTTGAAGCATATAACTACCAAAGTGATGTGTCGGAATGTCATCTAAACTATCAAACCACCACTGACGTTAAAACTCTTGTATTTGATTGCTACCACTCACCTCTACCCGCCCCTGCTAAGCCGTTAACGACCAAAACGGCAACAAAAACCACTGCACACAAGATGATGACAAAGATTCGGGGAAAAACTGCGTCCTTCATTTTTATTACGATGCGACTTATTTGTGCAAGTGAGTCCCGGGATGGTTCCCATCAAAGATATGAAGAAACGCCCGTAAAATGGCGCAGCCCAGTTAACCAACGTGCGTACGTGACGTGACGGCCATGTTGGCAGGGGCGGCGTTCCCGTTTACGGGAATGCATGTACATTGAAATAAGTCTTAACTTAGTCGTTTCTCAACTGATTTGCATGAGGTTTTAACATCTGCGGAAAAAAGACGTGTAAACATACCGTTTACACGTTAAAAGTTAGTCACATTCATAATTGTACGCCGTTGTGCATAACCGTGCGCGGCATGATTCGCCCTCATCTTTTTCTGTCACTATTATTTTCGTCTACACTTAACAAATGCGCGGATGCCATTGCCCCTACTTGCTCAGCAGCGCCGTAGGCACGTATCTCGCAAAGAGTGTGTCGTATCTACATATATTCATATCTATATATAGATGCATGTGGTTGCATATTACACAACGCCTTCGACTGTTGCTGACACTGTCGGTACGAGATGTGCTTTTTCACTCATTGAAATGACATATACTGTACCGAGATGGTTCTCGGTACCAGATTTGATCAGGCTGCAAGATTTTATCGGGGTCCTTCGGCGGCCGATGATGACCTAACGCTTCCTTTAAAAAAAAAAAAAAAAAAAGATTCACACAATTACAATACAGTGCACAAAACTCGATGGGAGATGGATATTTGTGTTTATGCAACAAGTCAGTGGAAAGAGAAGTAGAAATAGGAAAAACAAAATGACAGCCAGGCAGTTCTGATGTCATTGTAAGCCATTTACATCCAGTATTCTTAATGTGTTACAATAAATAATTTGAGACATCTTCACATAAACTTTTAAAGTCCAAATTCACTTCTCAGTTTTAAACACATTAATGGACAGTTTTCTTTTTTGTCCGTGGTATTTAGCATGTGTTGCAGCTCCGAAGCAAACACAGCTGTCGTGGTGGTTTTCAGAACATTCACTTTATTAATTCGTTTCACACTGAAGCAAATACAGACACGTCGACGTCGGACTACGCGCCTTCTCAACTGCTGTTCTACTCGAGAGGCGTTCAGGGCCGCCTCTGAAAAAACGTAAATTAATGATCACTTGACTGACGCCCAGAAAAGTGAAAACAATGCAACAAAATAGAAAATACATTGAACAACATATACAGTCTCCTACACATGCGTAACTATGACAATATTGCAAAGTTTCATTCTTGTGTGTGGTTAATTGTACCATGAATTTGGTCCAAATTTAATTGTAGTACTTGATCCATTTTCATTTGCATCATTCCAAGTTTCTCTCAAACAGGAGAAAAATAGATGTTCAATTGTTTCCTCCTCTCTAGAGCTAAAGCCACATGGCTCGATCTCAAATCTAAATTGTTTTATCAACCACCATTGCTTCTGCTGGGTCATGACCATGTCCACTTTTAAATGGCATTTCTTTCACTTTGGGAGACACCGGTCACTTCATAAAGTGTGCATATCTATTTGTAATTTTACATTCATTGTTATGAATTTTTGCACTTTGTGAAATATCCATCCATCCATCCGCTTATCCCACAAGGGTCGTGGGGCATGCTGGAGCCTGTCCCAGCTGTCTTCGGGCAGTCGGCAGGGGACACCCAGAACTGGTTGCCAGCCAACCGCAGCTCTTCATGAAATAGTTTAATTTGAAATATTTGACTAACACTTTTATTATTACACATTTTGTCTTTTAAGGTAAATGTGATTTAATTGAATGTTTGGAAATGAGATCTGTCTTTTAGAATGAATTAGATTATTTTTAATCATGTCTAATAAGGCCAAGGAAACAGCTTTACAACTCTTTTATAATCTCTTGTAGAATTTTTAATGTGTCCACTATAAATCCTTTTAGAGATGAGGAAAAGCACTGAGTTTTATTTTAGCCACGGTAGGGCTGTCTCAGATATTTGTGGGCATTGCCGCAAGCCTATTAGTCCAATGGACTCAAAAGGAAAGAAACAACAAACCTACACAGGACATATTGTTGAACATGCTAATCCAGAAGTACGATTTTGGAAAGGAACAACTGAAGGGTGGCTGGTGTGCTGTTGTCTCCCACGAGGATGAGGGAAGGAGCTTATGGTGGTTCTTGCGGGCTGTACGTCCAATTCCCTGAAAGTATGCATGTGCGCTTTATGGGCACAGAATGGGGCGAGTTCCTGGTTCAAATATGGAATATTATGCCATATTGAGATGAGACAAGTTTTCGCTTCAAACAATGAAAGTGCTCGGTTTTATTTTTGTTATCGATCTCAGAGCGTAGACTCACACGGTATTAAAACTTGTATGCTGCAAGACAAAAACAATTTTTTTTTTAAACATGAAAAAAAAACGAAACTGACATGCTGCGAGTGCTTGAGAAAACACTCTACAGACGCTCCCCGATTTACGAACATTCGAGTTACGAACAACGGTACATACGAATATTTTTGCGGGTACAGGTATGTCGAAAAATGTTCTCGGACAGAGATGCTGTAAGTTAGATTTTGTATTGCGGCCTTTTTCCGAGTACTGTAGTGCTTCTTTCCGCCACTAATACCGACGTGAGGCGCTGTGAGAGGAGGAGGAGGAGGAGGAAACGCCTGTCCCCATGAAGAAATTCGAGACGGAACTCTTGGCCGAGGGGTTTTCACTCATAGATAAAGCCATCGCACTCTTCGAGCAGCAAGACCCAAATATTGAACGTTGCACAAAGGTTGCAAATCAAATGAATGATGCCATACAGTGCTACTGCATCATTTATGATGAGAAAAAGAAGAAAACTGTGCAATCGACGTGAGATCGCTTCTTTCGGCCAGTTTCTAATACACCCTCCAAGGAAGATACTCGTCAACCCTCATCTTCTTCTCCTGGACCCTCAACTTCTTCCTTCATTGATGCTACGGGGGAGGAAGTAACTCTTGAAGCCCATTCCAGCGGCGACGAAGACCCTCTCGGCCCCATGATATAAAATCCTCCTCTTCCTTCTCCTCCCCCTCCATCATCTCCTTAAGCCGTCGAGTACATCTTCCAAAAGTAAGTTAAACTTCATTTTATAATAATATATAAACCTTAAACATACTTATATAAGCCTTAAACATACATTGCATACAAAATATAGCACTGAAGCAACTTACGAACAAATTCACCTAACGAACGATCCTTCGGAACGTATCTCGTTCATAAGCTGGGGAGCGTCTGTATTTAGATCACTTCAAGGGACACCTGGATGCCTGTTATGTGATCTGAGGTTGGTGGCCCTGAACTTCTGTGTTAGGATTTTCATAGTCCTTTTGTATGTCCAAAGGTCCATACAGCTTTTCAAGCACAGCCAACACTCTGCTTTGGACTGAATCCACTTGTTCGACAGGGCAGTATTCATCTAGACTGGATCTAAGACACAGAGACAAATACAAAAGTCAGGGTAAGAATCACCAACAGTCCACAATCAGGAGAGTCATGTCTCTTTGTAGGTACAGTGTACTCCAGCTATTTGCGGAGGGAAAAGCGAAAATCGGTCAGTAGATCACAATAAGCCCCAGACAAGGTTTTTAATTGCAAAGTGATGCATCAAGATAGTGACATCCAACTTTCATCTAAATGAAGCCCCTCAACTCACCCTCAAATTTCCCCAGTGTGGGACAAATAAATGTTATCTTATCTTACCTTATCTTAGCATAGGCCCTAAGTAATAAGAAGCCACAAGATGGGACAAATAAACATATTTTATTGCTTCGGCTTGAGCATAAATACAGCAAATAAGTGAGTTTTTCCACAAATAATTGAGGATGGGTTCGGCCTGGGAATGCCTTGGAATGTCTCTCTCGCTCTCTGGAGCAGCAAATAAGTGAGTTTTACCGCAAATAATTGAGGATGGGTTAGACCTGGGAATGCCTTGGGATGTCTCTCTATCTTTGGAGCAGCTGGTGTCCTACAGTTTGTAACTACTTTCAGGCTATTCCACACAGATGCAGAGTCGTTCCCAGAAAGTTTTTTTTTTTCAGCCTCTCTGCATAGCTTCTCTTTGCGATGTTAATTTCCTTTGTCAATTGGTTTTGGGCATGTTTGTACCGTGTGCTTCTCCACTTCGTAACCCATGTGTTACAATTTCTACGATTTTTGTAACACATGGGTTACCCCATGTGTTACAATTTCTACAATTTTTGTAGATTTTTGCGTATTGTCATTTTAAATCAAAGACAAAGCATAAAAATTGTGTGATATGAAATATTCCAATTCATGTTTTATTTATATAGATTTCTATTTATGTTTTGGTCATAGCACAATACCGCTTTTATTGTCCATAGAGGGCAAAAATACAAAGAAAAAAATAAGAACTATATGTGTATGTATAGCACTGATGCCACTGAACATGTCGAGTGGTTGAAAGTGAAATAAATATTCAGGAATAATACTTTCACAATTTTTGTAAAATTGTATGTTGCGTTATATAAACTTATTTACATCGACTGCAGCACATGGGTTTTAATTAATTAAAGGTGGCCTCTTTCTCTTTTCTAAGTTGCCGGAGTTTCGCAGTGAATCCATCCATCCATTTTCTACCGCTTAACTGGGGTCGGGTCGCAGGGGCAGTAGCTTTAGCAGGGAAGCCCAGACTTCCCTTTCCCAGCCACTTCTCGCTCTTCCCGGGGGATCCTGAGGCGTTCCCAGGCCAGCTGGGTGACATCGTCTCTCCAGCATGTCCTGGGTCGTGTCCCCGGGGCCTCCTGCCGGTGAGACATGCCCGGAACACCTCACCAGGGAGGCGTTCAGGAGGCATACTAATCAGATGCCCGAGCCACCTCATCTGGCTCCTCTCGATGTGGAGGAGAAGGGGCTCGACTTTGAGCCCTTCCCGGATGACCAAGCTTCTCACCTTATCCCAGTGGTTCTCAATTATTTTCTGTCATGCCCCCCCAAGGAAGAGGAAAACATCTCGCACCCGCCCCCTCCCCGCACGACTATAAATAGTATCATTTGTCTATAAAATTGTTATAAGTACACCTTTGCATAACATTTGTTTGATTTCTTCATGATTTTTGCAGTCTTCGG